ACGGCCGGCCCCGGGAGCGGGAGATCGGGCAGGACACGGGGCTCGGAGAGGGGCGCGAGGGCGGGGACGGGGGGAGCGGGGGAGAGCAGGATTAGAACCGACGAGACAAAAGAAAGCCCAAGGCACCAGCTATTTGCCTGCAGACTAGAAGCAAAGGCCCCGCAGCCGAAAAGCCTGGTGCCCAACGGGGAAGGCTGTGCGCTTTCGGTTAAAACCCGGGGGGGGGTGTGGGGGTGCAATCGAAGGGCAGATCATCCACTTATAACATTTACTAAGCGATCAAGGAAGAACAGGACGGGAAAGGGGGCACAGAGTGGGAGAAGGGGAAAGAAAGCACGGAGAAAGTGGGCTGAAACTACCCCCCAAAGCTCTGCTGACTTTGAACTCTCCCCCCGGGGCTCCTTCTCAACCCGACTTTTTTTTTTGCCTGGAAGGGCGGGGTGGGGAGAAGCTGGCCTTAGTTCCGGCCTTCCGGTCTGTCCGCGCCGACCTCCTGTGCTGGGCTAAGCGGCCGGCGCCCGGCCAAGGCCTGCGAGGTTTTTATTGGGGGGGGGCGGGTAGAGGGGGGCGCCCGCCTGTTGATTTCCGCTCTACAGACGGCTTAGGACCCGCAGGCGGCCCTAGATCCCGGCGCCATGACACTCTTTCCCTGCTGCCTTCTCTTACGTCCCTTTGGCCTTTTGCCCCAGATAAGTTCAAGGCCCGTGACCGCCGCCCCCCTCCTCTGCACGCAGCAGCGCGAGGCGATGCCCGAACCTGGGCCATTCGCCAGTGCCACCGCCTCCGGGGCGGCGCCAGGATTTCTCCCATGTCTTCCACCCATCACCACCGACCAGCAAGCTGGGGCCTGAGCCGCCCCAACCCCCCCCACCACCTCCACCCGGCGCCACCTCTGAGCACCCGCCGGGCTTACCCCCCTCCCCCCCTCCCCGCCACCTCCCCGAGCCCTGTTCCTCCTCTCAAACCCACTCTTCACTGCCCCCCCCCCCCGGCTTCCAGACTCTGAATCTCAAAGCCTGGTGTTCCAGCTGGGGTTCGCCTGTTTGACAAGTCATTTGTTGGCAGGGAGGCAAAGTTGGGGAGAAGGAGACTCAAGACTTCAAATTGGTGTGTGTGTGGGGGGGGTTCTTCTTCCAGAAAGTGATAAAGGTGTGACCCGGAGGGGGGTGTGATATGACCTGGTTCAATTAAGTAAACTGAGTCACTAACTATACTTCCACGCTCTCGCTATTTTATTAGTTGGGTACAAGAAACTAATATTTTTTTATTTCAAGGCTTATTTTTTAATTTGCTCTCGGATGATGGCTGTTAAGTAACTGCGCAGTTGGATGAATCTATTATTTCTTTGTTCTCTCAAAGAGAGATCACCGAAGCAGCATTCAGTTTTATTTTCTCTGCACTTCCCAACTTAATACACCCTCTTTTGTTTCTTTGTCTGTGTGGTTATACAGGTTTTTTAAATTTCATCATTCGATGGTTCAGTTAAAGAAAAGGAGTTATCATACACGATGAGCTGTTTCTTATTTCGAAGTCTTGTGCCGCTGTGGGGGTCCACGGTTGCGCATATAGGGGAATCCTTGGCATCCCCGGGTCATTTGAGTAACAAGGAAGATAGAGTCTGGGGAAGAAGAAATAATTCTATGCACCCAGAAGGACCCCATGGCAGGATGGCCCCAGTCTTTGGGGTGTGTGAAGGACTTTTGTACAACTTGAAAAGTCACCCCTAGTTCAGCAGCCTACGCCTGTACACGCCTGCTCCTATCACCTAGGGCTGCCATCAAATGGGACTTGCACAGCTTTCCTTCATCATGGTTACAGTTACGGCCTCCCCCCACTTTCCTGCTCAGCCCCAAGTCAAATCCCCCAGTTTTTGTCCCAAGTGAAAATTAGAGAGGTCGTGGTGGGGGGGGGGGGAGTTAAAGTCTGGAAGAGAGCCAAAGAAAAAGATGTGTGCAGCCTGTTTGTCTCCAGCCTCCTTCCTCCCTGATCCCCGAGCATCCTCCTGTCAGACAGACAGACAGACAGACAGACAAGACGGCCCTCGGAGGCTTTGTGTTACCTGCCAAACGCTGGGCTGATGAAGGCCGGGTGCCGGAACACAGCTGCTCCCAGGAAAGTACTCAGGCCCAGCGGCGCCCCGCTGGGCGGCAGGCTGGCCGAGCCGGGAGGCGGAGGTAGGCTCGGGAAGGCGGCGGCGGCGGCAGCGGCGGCGGCCGTCCAGGCCGAATCCAGCGCCGGGTGGTGCGGAGGGAAGGGACTGGCGTCCAGGTAGGGGCTGAGCGGGTGGGTGGCCGACAGGGGCCCGGGGAAAGGCAGCCCCGGGGGATGGGTCTGCGCGCCGGCCTTCTCCCGCTTGCGCCACTTGGCCCGACGGTTTTGGAACCAAACCTGCAAAGGTGAAAAGAGCCCTGGGTCGGTGTGGCTCTGGGCGCCCTTCCTTCCCTTGGAGAAAGCCAGCCAAGCCTTCCTTCACTGCAGGTTCGAACCCTCCTCACCACTGGGGGTGGGGGTGGGGTGGGGGTGTCTGGTGTCTCAAGTGGGCCAAGGATGCAAAAGTACAATGGCAAGGAGTCCAATCTTGCAAATCCTTTCTAGTGAAGACTCCAACTAGCCCCATCTTCTAAGCTTCAGGAAACTAGGGTTTGGGGAGGGGGGGTATTTTGGTTTTAAAGAGATGGGAAGCCTAAGGGTTGATTGTCTGTACTTCCCCTTTCTTGCTGCCTGACTTTAGACAAGTGACTTCAACTCTCTGGACCTCAGTTTTCGAATCTGTAAAGTGGGAATGGCACCCCACCCCGAGCCCGACTGTTTAGGAAGAAAAGTAAAACCAGGCAAATTGAAAGCACGCATTCCGTACTCTTGGGGAAAGGCAAGAGAGGAACAGATTGGTTTTGCTGCCTATCAGTTCTTTCTCACGTTTCAGGTTTATCCAAGGTTGGGGAAAACCATCTCTGCTCTGTACTGGAAATGGAAGGAAGGAGAGGCAAAGCAGTTCCCTTCTTTCGACAAATCTTAGTGAACTCCTGCATGGACTATCCTAAGTTTGGCAGATTCGGGGAAGGGATGAGAGAAAGTTCTCACAATAACTGGCAAACAAGTGACCATTTTAGGGGACTCGTTCTCTGTGGAATAAAATAGGGGGTCCACAACTTGCTGCCTTCAGAGGCTCTATCCAGGGCCTGGCTGGGGGAGGGGAGAGGAGGGAGAGGGAGGAGATGTCCTGACTTTCTGGAGTCAGGAATCACCAGGATCTAGAAATCAAAGGCAGGATAGGAGGAGACTTTGCCCATCTTCAGAACTAACAGGCCTTTGGGGGAATGTGGTTTAAATAGGTTATTTAAATAAGGTATTTCTAGGCTTGAGGGAGGTTTCCAGCCAGAGGGATTTTCCTAATTGGTAATAAGAAGCAGTTTGAATAGAGACCTTTACCTGAAACATCGCAGCTACCATCACCTAAAAATAACCCCAAAGAGCATGAAATTATTTTTATATGACCTGCTCATCACACCCACAGTTGAGAAGAGATGTTCCTTCTTCCCTGAACACATTAATATTTTTAGGGCTGGGTTTGTGACTGCATACAAGTTAAAAAAAATTAAGAATGAACTCTGGGCCTATAAAGTTATATTAAAATATGATGTAAATGATGCCAGAGGAATATAGGGAGAAAAAAAAATAAGACATTTATACCTTTCAACTCTCCACCTTGACTCGGTTACTATGAGCACTAGCAAGTAAGCTTGGGTTGATTTCTAGACAGCAAGAGAAACTCAGACTCCAAATGGATTGATCATTTAAAATAGTCTCCTGAAAGGAGAGTCATCTAGAACATTCCATGGCCTTCAAATCGAGTTGTGAATTCAAGAAAAGGCTCTAGCAAGGAGGCTCAGACAGAGACTTGAAAAAGTTAAGACTGGTGGTAGATGAGATCAGGCTGGGTGGGCAGCTTTTGTCCATCTGAGGCTGTCTAGACAGAATATGCACCCAGCCTCCATCCCTAGTGAAAGGAGTAAGGGAAAGGACCAGGCAGTGGAGGCCCAGGGCCCTGAAAGAATGTGGAAACTTGCATATGGATCGTCTCTCTGTCTCTGGGGCTCAACTGCAATTATCAAGATGTCCCCCAGCAATTCCTCATTATTGAATTAATACCTCTAAGGCCTCCCAAAGGTAAACGAAAGGACTCTAATAATTCATATTCCCTTAATTACATCTTCTCCAGTGAATAGGGACAGAAGAGAAGGGGAGGGGGGCGCTCTCTTTCTTTTTAAAAGTTATTTAACTTTCCCACGACTTGTTCCCCTGAGCTGAAAATGCAGAGTTGCTGTCACATCTCTGTTTGACAATGGAGAAATGTGTCAACAGAAAGGAGGGACAGGCCTCATCATTAGCCCTCTAATGCAAGGAGCTGTTGTGTATTAAATGAGCCATATGGAATTTATTGTGCTTTATCAGCGCTTGATTTTGACTGTAAAGTGATTCACTCAGCTCCTAACCCGGGGACATCTGTTTTCTGTTGGCCATCGGGGCTGCCCAGTGTTGATCGTCTCTTTGGTTATGAGACCTGGGTTCGGAAATGCACTCCGGTATGGCGCTGCAAACACCTTTAATAGCATTGCACTCACTCCCTATTAGATCAATGTGGGCTCATTGCTATAAAAAATGGGAAATCAAATAGCATTAGCCAGCTCCTCTTGCGGGGCGGAGGGGAAATCAAACAGCATTTTGCCTTCAAATGGCCCTGTTTGTTCTAGCACTAAGTGGGCTTTTATGAAGCCCGATTGGAGACTTAATCGCAGCCAAATACCTGCTTGGAGCTGAGCGGATTTGTCTAACACCCAAATCCATGCTCCATCCCATTATTTCAATCAGGAGAAGTCGGCTGGTGGACTGTTTTCTACAGGGGCCTTGGGACTGACTGGGGGCTCCTCAACTGCAGCTCCAACTCTTAGCACCCTGTTTGGATGCTGGGCTCCTTTCTTTCCCAGGCTCCCAAACCCTGATCTTCCCTCCCTCCTGTCCCCCAAGGCCGGTTTCTTAAGGTCTCCTCCTCTGCGAGTGCTTGGGTCTGTCTTTTGCAGTCTGCTTCTCTTTTATGAGGGGAGGCTCCAATAGCTTCCCCAACCCATAGATCCAACTATCTTCCCCTTTTCCCACCCCCCCCACCACCATCCTCCCTCCTCTCTCTCTGTGTACAGCTCACCTGGACTCGGGCCTCAGTCAAGTCCAGCCTCATGGCCAGTTCCTCCCTATAAAAAAAAAAAAAAAGCAACACACAAGGTAGGAGGTCACTGTAGGCCCCAGCAGCTCCCCACCCAAGCGCCTTCCCTTCCAGGACAGGCCTCCTCCCTGCCCGCCCCACCCCTAACTACGTGCACGGCACCAGCCTTTCGCCACTGCAGTGTCCACTATTGGACTGAAAACAGAAAAGTGCAATCTGTTGCCAGCTTGAGACTCTTAGCTCTATTCTATTCAAGGGTAACAGGGTTGACTTTCTTGGGCCTGTGAGTCTACAAGCCCGGGTAACATGAATGCTCTCTGGCTCTCTCTTAGGCCAGAGCTTGGTAGGAAAAGCTCACACACAGCACTTAGACCCTGCTTTGTCCTAATACCAAATGGGCTAAACTAAAACTCTTGATTTTCTGCCCTCTTGGCTTCCTTCTGCCTTCTTCTTTTCTAGAAAATGTCCCTCCCCTCCATTCTACCTCTCTGCTATTCCCTCCATCCCCCTCCCTCCCTTCTTCCCTCCCTCACCCCCTTAGGTCACAGTCCCCATTACCCTCTGGAGATATGTTAAGCTTGTTAAGAGTTCAGTGGGGGTAATTTTTCGATTAAACAAAATTCTGCGCACCTCCTGACTCCAGTGCCCAGTACAACCCTGCCCATCTCAGGGGAAGTCAATTTAGCTGAAACCCTACCCCGTCATTGCAGTTATTACTGCGACAATTAAGGCAAATAGGAAACCATTAAGATGCTGTAAAACGGCTTACGACCTGTTTACCGAAAATATGAGCGCGCCGAGAATAATTGGCTCTCGGCTCGCTACTCTGAAAGAGCGGGGGGCCCGCTCGAATCTGGGGGCCTGGGTCTGGGCGGCGGGCAGGTCCCCCTTTTCCACACCTGAAACTTCAGCGCGGAGAGCACATCAGTGCCTTGAGCGCTGGCTGCTGCCCCTGCTACCCCGAGTCCCCCCGCAAACGTTGAACTGAGCCCCGAGCTCCAGGCTAGCTGCGGGCTGGAGCCAAGCGGGCTGAGTCTCCCGGGCTAGAACGAGGTGGGGGTGGGGCGGCGGCGGGGAGCAGCCCCTCTACACACACTTGGTCCCCCCCTCGAGCTAAAAGTAAAGGTGGGGGGGCAGACTGGGCTAATTTTCTTCTTTGAAGTACAGTCATCTATATGATAAACGCAAAGGTGGTCCGCCCTTGAGTTAGCTATTTGATAGCACGCAGTGATTTTTCAATTTATTTCCTCCCCCCCCCCAAGAAAGGGACTGAGTGACAAGAGAGGCCAGAGTTGAACTCTAGGAATAGGATAAGCAAGTTTAAGCGCCCTCGCCCCCATTAACCCAACTCTCTGATGACTTCTGGTTAAGAGAGGTTTGGGCAATCGCCAGACCAACTACATTTTGGAGTTGTCTTGGGCCTTCGGTGTTCGAAAGCAGTAGTTCTTCGGGTTCAAAGAGACCACTCGTTTTCTCCTCTAAAATGAGCCCCTTGGAAAGCTGCCCACAGCTCCTGCGAAGGAGTGGTGTGTTTCCTAACACTCCAGCCAAGTCACCAGCCCCTTTCCCTGGGGTGCAGGACGATGCCCCCAACACTGGCTTCTCCTCTGAGCTGGGATTCTTGCGTTGGGGTGAGAGATAAACCTTCCACAGCCAGCCAGTGCCCTTTGTGGGGAGGGGCCGGAGGCCCAGGCTCAAGCGCATCTTATAACTGGATTGAGAGGTGAAGTGTAACCACACCGCACCCCCGACTTGGACACTCATCCAAAGATACCCCCCCTACCCCCGAACCCAACTACCTTGCCTAAAGTCTGCCGGCAATCATTATCTACCCCCCCCATAAACCCGTTTACAGTAAACACACTCTGGGATTATTGCGGGCGGGGAGAGGGCAGGGCAGAGGAAGATTCTGGCTGGTGTCTCTCAGGTGCACAGACACCAAAACATTGCCCAGTTCCGACTTGGTTATTTTTCAGGAGTTCTCAAATGACAGGACTCAGGCCTTTTCTTTAAAGGCCTTCTCTGCAGGCCGGGGTTCCAGCTTCACTGCGAACAGCGTAACCGATACCCATCAGACACTTAGGGCACCAGGCGGGGGGGGGGGAGGAGGTGGCGAGTGCGCTGGACAATGACCCAAAATAGCCCCTGATTTGCCCTGGCTGCAGTTTTGCTGCGCCTCGCTGGGGATCTGGCCGCGGCTAGGGCGCCCGGGGCCAGTGCCCGTGTGGCTGGGGCTGTGGCGCGCGCCTCGCCCCGAGTGGCTCCATCGGGGGTGGTTTTGGAGAATCCTGCCCCCCTTCCCCTTTAAGTCAAACTTGTCGTTTGGAAACACATTAAACTGGAACGACCTTGGGAAGGCAAGAACCCATCCCAGCTTACATCGCGAAAGCGCAGAGCAGGTATGGGAAGAGGAACTAAGCCTGTGGTTTGGGGGTGTTTTTGTCGCAGAGAGCCAAGGTGGGTTGTAGGGGCGAGGTTGTGCCAAGTGATCGAAGCGATCGCCCCGAGTTCAGACTGTGTATGTGTGTGGGGGGTATCACAAGGTGTGGGGGGTCCTTGATCACCCACTTAACCCTCTCCTGGTCCCCGCGTGTGTCCTCCCCGCCGCGCTCGCCGCGATCTCCCCCGGGGGGGAGGCGTGCGTACCTGGTGAAGACGTCCGGGTAGTGCGTCTTCTGGAAGGCTCGCTCCAGTTCCTCCAGCTGGTAGCTGGTGAACGTGGTGCGGTAGCGCCTCTGCTTGCGCTTCAGCAGCCCCTCCTCCGAGTCGCTGCCCGCCGACAGGCACACGCTGTCCTCGCCGTCCTTGCCCTCCGCGTCCTCGGGGTGCAGCAGCAGCTCTTCC